GTAGTTTTGTGGTATTTTTAATTGTTAGGGGTAGTTTTATGGGAGTTATCAGTTGATCATATAACCTTTTTATATGTAGGTATTTTTATTAAACTATTTTGTGGATAAAAAGTATTGGCTTGACCGGGTATGGAACTCTGGTTTTTTAGATGATGGTTAATTGTTTAGATATTGAGTTAAGACAGCAGTTAAATGTATAGGTTTTATAGTGATAAATGACAACCTCAATTTACCTTAATTAAGTAACAACATATATACAGGGTGTGTAAAAAATATTTTATTTGTATTTTATTTTATACATATCTATATGATGTGGTGTATAATAAATGAGAAACAAATGATAATTTATGTATATAATATTAAAAATAGTTGAAAGAGGGCTTAAGTGGAACTTTATAATTGAGTATAAAAAATGGCCTTTGTAAAGGCCACCAAATGTTGGATGTTAAATTTTCATTTTATATATGTTATGTATTTTTGGGATGATGGGAGGTTTGAATTTATGTTTTTTTTCTAGTGGTTGGTTGTGTATGAAGATGTGTAGAGCCAGAGGTTCATGGGTTTGATCCTTAGCAATCACCGAATGCTTCATTTTTGGTCAGGGTGATATGTTGATTTTTGTTATAGTGTTGTATCATAGTGGGAGTAGTGTGAGTCCTTCTTTGATCTTAGAGGTTCACGGGTTCGATCCTTAGCAATCACCAAATGTATTTTTTTGGTCAGGGTGATATGTTGATTTTTGTTATAGTGTTGTATCGTAGTGGGAGTAGTGTGAGTCCTTCTTTGATCTTAGAGGTTCATGGGTTCGATCCTTAGCAATCACCAAATGTATTTTTACTGGTCAGGGTGATATGTTGATTTTTGTAATAGTGTTGTATCGTAGTGGGAGTAGTGTGAGTCCTTTTTTGATTTTAGAGGTTTGTGGGTTTGATCCTTATCAATCACCAAATGTGTTATTTTTGGATGGGGTGACATATTGATTTTTGGTATGGTGTTGTATTATAGTGGGAGTAGTATGGGTTTTTGATTCTAGAGGTTTATGGGTTTGATCCTTATCAATCACCAACTGCTTCTCTTTTGGTCAGGGTGATATTTTGAGTGTTAGTATTGAAGTAGGAGTAGTTAACTCGTTTAGAATGTGAACCTATGATCCTGGAGGTTTGAGGGTTTGATCTTTATCAATAACCAAATGTTTCATTTTTGGTTGGGGTGATGAATTGATTTTTGGTATGGTGTTGTATTGTAGTGGGAGTTGTGTGAGTCCTTGATCTCAGAGGTTTGTAGGTTAGAATCCTACCAGTTATCAATTGTCTTATTTCTGGTTATGGTATTAACTTGTGTTTTAGTATGGTATTAAGAGATTATGTGTGAGATATCATTCTCTGAGGTTGTGGGTCTGGTCCTCATCAGACAATGATTGTTTTATTTCTGGTTGGGGTGTTTTTGGTATGGTATTGTATTGTAGTGGGAGTAGTGTGAGTTCTTTATCTTAGAGGTTTGTGTGTTTGATCCTAGCTAATCACTAAACGTTTTATTTCTGGTCAGGGTGATATATTGAGTGTTAGTATAGTGTTGTATTGTAGTGGAAGTAGTGTGAGTCCTTGATCCCAGAGGTTTGTGGAGTTGATCCTCACTAGCCACTGTTTGTATCATATCTGATTGGGGTGATTTTTAATGTTGTATTGTAGTTAATTGTTTGTGTATGCCCCCAGAGGTTGTGGGTTTGATTTTTATCATTCAGTGATTGTCTCATTGCTGGTTACTATAGGGTTTATTATGGTATAGGGAGTTAACTGTTTGAGTGTGAGATCCTGAGGTTATGGGTTTAATCCTTACCAAACACTGATTATTTTATTTCTGGTCACTATGATTGTGTATGGTGTTGTATTCTAGTTAACTGTTTGTGTATGAGTCTAGGGTTGAGGGTTTGAATCTTATCAGTGAGAGTTATATTTTTTATGGCTGTGTAATATGTTCCTGTCAAATTATTCAGCTGTGACCTTTATTGTAAAGATCGTATCTGTAACATAACCTTACTTGTATATGTAGGCTGTATGCTTTTTTGCCAATGGTTTCTGCTAATGAATTAACCTTATTTGTGTATGTAGGAGCTATTATTGACTTCTCTGCTAACTTTTACCTCCAAATAACATAACCTTACCTTATGTATTGCATACGTATATAACCATATTTGTAACATAACCTTAACATTGGTAACATAACCTTATTTGTGTATGTAGGAACTGTCATCTGGTTTCCTGCTATTTGCTTTTCTGTTAACTGTTTCTGCCAAGTAACATAGCCTCACTTTATGTACTGAATATGTAGGTTTATTAAATAAATATTTTAGATATTCTGCTGGAAAAATAAGGAAAACAGCTGTGAAAGCTAAAATGGTTTATTTATAATATCTATATCCTGTGTAGTGGTATTGTATCATCTGAAACAAAAATTATAATTAGTACACCACATCTGGTGTAGTAAACAGGTTATAACTTGAAAAAAATCCTGTATGCTGATTGGCTATATTAAGCTCTTTTCTGATTGGTCATAAGTAAGTGATCTGTGTAGTCATTGGTTACCCCCACCCCTCCCCTATTGTATATATATTGCTCTGTGTCACTATTGCATCACTTTGCTCTTAGTGATTGGCGAAGATGGATGTAAGTAGTGTAGCTGCTCAAGTAGTTGATCCTGTAAACGTTGTAGAAGATTCTGTTGAAGTAGCTGTCCCTGTAAATATCTTAGATAAACATGAGAATTATGTAAAGAAATTTAGAATTCATGGAATTAATACTGTTTTTAAGTTTTCTAACCCTCCTGCTGAAACTAGTGAGATTGATTGGCTAAGACAAGGGTTTGGTCAAATTGTAAATGAGATGAAAGAAGTTTGTGAGGAGGGTGATCAATTGGGCTTTACTTTGCGATCACTTAACCTAAAAAGTAAAGAGGGGTTTGTTGCTTTTCGCCCTGCAAATGAAGTTAATGAGGATGTTCTGTGGCAAATCTTTGGGGGAATTGTACAATCAAATTCTGAATCAATCAAGTCCACAGATACATTTCAAGTTGAATGTACCCGAGTTAATCTCCCTGTAGGTTTGGGCGGCCGTAAAAGATCAGGCTTGTATAACACCTTTGATGACGAATGTAAAGCTAGGACGGGGATTGTTGTAATTAACAATAAAGATAACTTGTGTCTTCCTCGTGCTATTGTAGTGGCTATAGCCAATGTAACTAAAGATCCAGAATACAAAGCTGTTAGACAAGATGCTAAGAAAAGACAGACTGTTAGGGCTCAAGAACTTGTTTGCCGAGCTAGAGTTGAGATGCCTGAGGGTGGTGCAAGCATTTCCGAACTAGAAAAATTCCAAGATTTGCTTAAAGACTATAAAATCACTGTGTACAACTACAATGCTAAAGGTAGGGATGTGTACTTTGAGGGATATGTAGAGAACCCTAAGTTCAAAATTAACCTGTTGTTTCATAACCGACACTATAATGTAATCACTAGCCTGACAGCTGCTTTTGCTTGTGTGTACTTTTGTGAAGCTTGTCATATCCCATATGATCACAAAGGTGAGCACCGTTGCTCAAACATTTGCTCACAATGTCAGACTATCTCACCCCCTTGTGTAGAGGAGTATGGGGGAATAACTTGTTTAAAATGTAATATGACTTACAAAAACCAAAGCTGTTTTATTGCGCATCTAGCTGATAGATGTAAAAATGTAAAGAAATGTCTAGATTGTGGGAAACTAGTTTGGCTTAGAGAGAGGTCCAAGCCTCACAAGTGTGGGGAGGTATTTTGCAATCCTTGTAGAGCATTTAAAGATCCAAACCATAAATGTTATATGAAACCCCACAAAGGCAAACCTAAATCTAAAGATTATGTTTTTATTTTCTTTGACTTGGAAACCCGTCAGGATGAGTTCCTGCCCTCTGACTCTGAAAGTAAAGTACATAAAGTTAATCTGTGTGTCTCTCAACAATTTTGTTACCGCTGTATTGAAGGGAAATTTTGTATAGCATGTAAAAACCGTACACGAGTGTTTGATTCCGACCCTATCAACCAGTTTATGAAATATGTAATGTATGTGAGAAAGCAGTTCAAACATGTCTGTGTAATTGCACATAATGGGCAGGGTTTTGACTTTCAATTCTTGCTAAAGTACTTGTTGGAAGAAACTAAATTCACACCGGAACTTGTAATGCGGGGAACCAAAATTATTCTAATGAAAGTTGATAATGTGAGGTTTGTGGATTCACTTAGCTACTTCCCCATGGCTCTGTCTGCTCTGCCTAAAGCCTTTGACCTACCTTCAGAGAAAAAGAAAGGCTACTTTCCCCACTTGTTCAACACATTGGCAAACCAAAACTATGTAGGCCCTATGCCTGCCAAAGAGTACTATTGTCCCGAATCTATGTTTGAGAAATCTCACACTGACTTTGATAAATGGTATAGTGAGCAGGTTGCAAACAAGTATGAATTTAATTTTAAAAAGGAGTTGCAGGAATACTGTATGTCAGATGTTGATATCTTGGCTCAAGCCTGTCTAAAGTTCCGCTCAATCTTCCTAAAAGAGTGTAATGTTGACCCATTTCTTGAGGCTGTTACCATTGCGAGTGCCTGTAATCTAGCCTTCAGACGTAACTTCCTAAAACCTAACACCATCGGCATCATCCCTAAGAACGGCTATCGATTAGTAGACAATCAATCGGCAATTGCACTCCAATGGCTTTCTTGGGTTGAGGAAACCAACGGAATTAGGATTGATCATGCTGGACGAGGAAAAGAAGTCAAAGTTAATGGAATGAAGGTAGATGGATTTGATGGTAGAAACATCTATGAGTTCCATGGGTGTTACTGGCATGGATGCCCTAAATGTTTCAATTACAACCGTCATGCCCCCTTGAAGGAGGACCCCTCTGATTCTCTTCATCTCCGTTATGAGTGAACCAAGGCTAAAAATGCTAAGTTTACAGAACATGTGTTGGTAGAGATGTGGGAATGTGAATTCCGTAAGCAGAAAAAAGACCAAAAACTCAATCATCTGGAAAGTCTACCCACCTTGAATAATCTCCCACTAGATCCACGACAGTCTTTCTTTGGAGGTAGGACAGGCAACGCGAAATCCTATCACAAATGCGCCGATGGGGAAACTATTCAGTATGTTGATGTTTGTTCCTTGTACCCTTATGTGTGTAAGTATGGGAAGTACCCTGTAGGCCACCCAACTATCTATGTAGGAGACAGGGAGTGTCATGAGAGAGGTATGGAAGTAGAGGGGTTGTTGAAATGTAAAGTCCTACCGCCTCGTGATCTCTATCACCCTGTACTCCCTACAAAAATGAATGATAAATTGATGTTTGTGTTGTGTAGGACTTGTGGGGAGATGATGTATCAGGGAGAGTGTAACCATGGTGGTGATAATAGGGCACTAGTTGGGACATGGACCATGGATGAGATCAGGAAGGCTGTAGAGAAAGGGTACATTATACTGGACATGTATGAGTTATGGGAGTACCAGGTAGCAACTTATGAAAACGGGGGTTTGTTCACAGACTTTATTAATAAATTTTTAAAGATGAAACAGGAAGCTTCGGGCTATCCAGAGTGGTGTAAGACCGAGGAGGACAAAAACAAGTATATTGCAGACTATTTGACACATGAGGGAATCAAGCTGGAGAAAGACAAAATTGTTAAGAACGGGGGTTTGAGATCTTTGGCAAAATTAATGTTAAACAGTTTCTGGGGAAAATTCGGACAGAGGGAGAACCAGACTAAAGCCACAATCGTTAGGGATTCTAAAACTCTTTTTCAAATGTTTTCATCCCCCGAAATAGATGTAAATAGACTCCAAACCGTCAATGAGGAGGTTGTAGTTGTTTCTTGGGAGTACTTGGAAGAAGTCGGGGAACCTCTCAGTAATGTAAATGTTTGTATTGCTGCCTACACCACAGCGCAGGCGAGACTCAAGCTCTACGAATACCTTGAGGCCCTAGGAGTTCAAGTATTATATTATGACACAGACAGTGTCATTTTTTACCACCGTCAAGGCCTGTACAGAGTTCCTACGGGAGATTATCTCGGCGAAATGACTGACGAATTGACAGATTACGGACCCGACTCCTATATCACTGAACTTGTCTCTGGGGGACCTAAAACTTATGCGTACCTTGTCTGGTCAACAAATCAACGAAAAATTATCCCCATATGTAAAATCAAGGGTCTCACCCTCAACTTTAAAACATCAAAAGTTGTAAACTTTGAAAAACTTAGAGAAATGGTCCTAAGTGAAGTAAAACAGTCAATTGAAATTGAAGAAAGTAGAATCAGAAGAACAAAAGATAGAGACATCGTTACGATTGCAGAGAGCAAAGTGTTTAGAATCACTGGCCCAAAAAGAAGGTATGAAGGAGAGTATGACACTCTACCTTTTGGTTTTAGAAAAGTCCAAAGAGACTTGTAAATAACTTTGTAGCTTTTCATTGTAAATAACTTTGTAAATTCCTTTGTATATAACTCTCCTAATAAAAATAAACAAGTCTATAGATAAATACTTATGTATTACCGTAAGACCAAAGTGTAAATGTTTGTGTACTGTCACCTACTTCAAGGCTGGGCTTAGCCGTTGTAAGTCCTACAGCGGATGATGGGTTGGCCTAAAAACCATAAAACGCTGGTTTCCTATGATAGGCACAAAACCTAGTAAATTGAGGAGTTTAGATTTAGAAGAACCTAAGCTACTCCTTGGAATGGTTTAGTGTACTGTCACCTGCTTAAAGGCTGGGCTAAGCCGTTGTAAGTCCAGGAGTGGATGCTGGGTTGGCCTAACAACCATAAAACGCTGGTTTCCTATGATAGGCACAGACTATGAATGTTAACCTTGAACTAACTTTGGCCGGATTACATAACTAAATCTATAGACTTGACAAAAAAAAATCTTTGTTAAAGTAAGGGAGAGGGTGTTTATAGCGACTACCAGGTAATCTGGACTGACTATAAACGCTTAACCTGGCCTCACTTAATGAGGGGATAGTCTCAAACCCTATCCAATACAAAGCTACATTATACGTAACAAATGTTAAGATATATCATTCTACTAATAATGGATAGCATAGTGGAAGAATTATTTCAAATGTAATGTAACTCTTTGAGGATCAAACGACCTGTATAAAGATGTTATAGAAGAGATGCAACCTAGTGGACATCTTGTAAACTAAAACAAAAATATAATGGACAACTGAAATCGTCATTACAGATGGTTAACCCCAACAACAACTCTGCATCTTGATAGGGTGGTACATTAAAAAACGTATGAGGAGAGGAGGTCAAACTCCTACTTAAATCTATTCCCCATAAGAGCCTCTAGTTATGGAGGATGATTATAGCACTATTCTGTAAATAATACAAGTTTACCATAGTGGTTTTACACTTAAGGTGTTAAAGACTCAAAAACAGGAAACTAGTGTTGTATTGAGTGAGAAATTAAATTCTAGCCTATATTTAATACTTAATAAACATTCCAAGGTACAAAGGTAACGTTATCACTGCTACCCGTAGTGTTATCCTGTGATGGTAAATCGTGTAGTTGTCTGTGATAACACCCTATCTGTGATTTATGAGTGTAACGTGTAGGTACAAAACCTCCTGATTGACCCTCAAGGGACTGACTTTTGTTGAAAACTAATATTCTTGACAACGATATATATTGATGTAACAGACTTTGAAACCTTGGTTGTAGTAAATAACAACTAAATCGGACTGGGGAAAAGCAAACTAACCTATTATCATGGGTAAGCCACAACAGCGATACAAATATTAACAACTGCTAAAAGGTAAGCATATTTTAATTCTGAGAAAATATTAAATAAACCTGCTGTTAGACTACATGTTAACGATAGCTAGACTGAGAAAGGTGTGGGAGTATGTTAAAACTGTATGGGAAACTCTAGGAAATGTGTATACATGTTTTGGTAGCAATTGTTCCTCTAGGACTTAAATACATCATCAAGATATGAATATCAAGAGCCCCCTACGATAGCTAAACCTTGTAGATATCCTAAAAACCCTGTAATCACAGGCTATGGAACCTTATAAGTGGATAATAATAAACGAGTTAGTATTGGTAAAAATATGTTTGTTTTAGCCAAGAAACCCTTATGAACCTGAAAAATTAAATACCTATGTCTATTTATTTATGTACCTTTTCTAAGCTACAACTAATAATGTAATTTATGTTTATTGACTAATAGAGGGGTTTCTATTACTTTCATCGTATTTATCATCGGTGTTCTGAAGACTATTGTCTTACACATTATCTTATAGCATTTGTACCCGAATTTTCCATATGGCTCTCAGCTATGAATGTAATGCGACACCTATTGTCTATGCCTTTTTTAAGTTGTTGCTATTTTGAAAAATATTTTTTGTTAAGTAATAGTTTTAATGGAGATGTCTTTTAGATTGACACGAAATAGATATACCTGAAGTTCTAAGTAAAACCCCTTTTACTGTTATTGAGGTTCTACCGTACTCTAAATAAATAAAAAAACCTCTTTTAAAACACAAAAACCATTGATATTCAACATATACTCTAAAGACCGAGGAATGTACAATTCATTCAACGACTAATACAAAGCAAGACAGGGAATAGTTGTTATAAATAAATAACACTGACAACTTATGTCTAGGTAGAGCAATAGTGGTAGGTAAAGCCTATGCAAAAATTGATCCTCAAATTTGAGGTAATTGTGAAGACAAGAGCATGAGATAAACAATTAGGGCAAAGAAACCTATGGCTAAAGTGTGTGTAGGAATGTCTGAAGAAGGATCAGGTATCTCTGAACTTGAAAAGTTCCAGGCACAATTAAAGAAATATAGAAAGTTGCCGCTTTTGCATGTGTGAACTTTTGCAATGCTTGACATGTCCCATATGATCACAAAGAAGCCCACAGATGTTCAAACAGCTGTTCATCTTGTCACACCTTCTCACCTCCTTGTGTGGAGGAAAATGGTGGCATATATTTCAGCTATTGTAACTGCTTTTTCAAAAATAAACGGTGCTTTATTGCCTATTAAGGACAAATTTGTAAAACAATTAAGTTACGATGAGGGTGTGAAAAAATGATATTCCCAACTAAACGTAAATCAACTCATGTGTGTGGAGAGATATATTGTAATCCTTGGATGCATTGCACGATGTCCAAGTGCCACGACGTCCAATAATATTTATTCAGTGCCACGACGTCCAAAACATAATTTTTGAGTTGTTGCACGACGTCCAAGTGCCACGACGTCCAAAAGTACAGTAACTGCCAAAAATATAGTCTTTCTACAAGCTTTGGACGTCGTGGCACTTGGACGTCGTGAAACAGTGCACTATATAATTGTAAAAAAGTAACATTTGCGGGAGTGTTGCACGACGTCCAAAGTCGCTGCCAGTTGCACGACGTCCAAGTGCCACGACGTCCAATAAATATTTGACTGTTGCACGACGTCCAATATAGCTCAGCGCTGTTGCACGACGTCCAAGCTCCTTCATGATGACCGGCTACTTGCCGAATAGTGTTCTCTCGTGTAAAATGCTTATGGAACGTTTATTAGTTATATATACATGGGTATATGTTCTTGTTCAGAAATATATATACTATGAATATTTGAACCAATAATTGAAACATGATAAAGTAAAAAAAAAAACATAAAAAGAAAAAAATAAACAAGGCAACAGTTGGAAAACTATAAGGTTTACATGGTTTGAAAAATGATGACATTTTGTTAACAACCGATCAACTTCATTATGTTTGGAGTCTGCTTTTAAATAGCCTACTTATTTTTTCAAGACTAGATACATTGATAGGTACATTGATCAACATGATCTTTGAAAACTATTTTTTATCCCCTCATTTTAATTTTTACTAGTATAAAGAATAGAATGCCTTTTCGAACGGTTTTTTAGGCTTCAATTAAATGTCTTTATGTCGTAAATATGTTTATTAATAGTATTCACTTAACATTGACTTAATTTCATTTCAATAAATTTTGTGTTTGTGTTTTGCTACACCACTTATTAAATTGCAACCAATGAGAATCTATATAAATAAAATTAGAGTTTTGTCTGTACATTGCTCATAATCATTCATTTGTAGGTTATTTTTACGTTTTATACTTAAAGAAGCCGAAACAAGTCTCATCTAAATTTCTGTCTGTCTGTCTGTCTTTCTGTCTTTCTGTAACACTCAAGATGGCATTTTACACAATCTTCTCCAGGAAAACGAGAGTACCTATCAAGATCCAAGTCATTTTAATGTATTCACTGGATTGGCGAGAGTGTCTTTAGCCATTAAAATATGGCCTCAATAATTAGTAAATAACATTACGGACGTTCAAAAATGCAGTTTTGTGCGATTTTTGTCAAGTTTTCTTCCAATTTTTATCACATAATGATCTATGAAATAACGAACAGCTGTTCGGATCAAGATATTTTTTTCTCGCTGTCACTGATATGTTTACAAATACCACAACTATTTCCGATCACGTTTTCAAGGCAAAGCCCATCCAAGTGAGATTAAAATCGTTGTCTTACATAACGGATTTAATTAATCGCAAGTGGAATAATATAGTGTAACCGTAAATGAAATTTAATAACATCATCCAGGTTAGGAACCAGAGATTCTTTGTGTATAAAATTGTTCTTGAGTTTTGATAACCTTGAATCAGTGTTGTATAGGGCTGGGAAACTTGAATTTATTAATGATCGTCGCCAATAGCTTACTAACTCATTGACGGCGCTTCAATGGTGGTTGTGTAAAGTGTAAAGTGTAAAGCAAAAAATCACAACTACAGTGGGTGATTGTAACAGAGGTTTACGGTTTATGGATGATGCTAAACTCGCTTTTCCAATGTGTTACTTTCTGTTCCTATTCACCGTATGATGCAATCGCTGGACGATACAGCCAATAGGCCCATAGCCCATCTCTTGGGTACTTACGCCTACCCAATTATTCATAACAACCTTTTCGACGACGATCCTTGATACCGGTACTTTTCCCTAGAATACACGGCCTCCCTACTTAAGAAATAAAATTACAAACGTCCAAAAACCCAGCATTGCGTGATTGGTCACAGCATTGGTCACATTTCATTCTAATGTTAAAAGATATACCAATCATTGTTTAGAGAATAGGCCTGCGTAATCTATTAAATAACAAACAGTTGTTTTTTTTTTTTTTTTTTTTTTTTCAAACTGACACCAATAAGTTTACATTAAAAGTTGTTTACGAATAAAGCAATTAGGCTAATGGGAAATAATTTTGATTGCCGATAACTTTTCACGAAAAAATCCAAAACCAAGAAATCAATAACCTTGGGACTTGATTAACGCATTTTATTTGTCGGACGTAATTCTTAACTGTAAACGTTGGTTTTTGGTACTGGTTTTTTCCCTTAGAACCGTTGGTAGCAGCAAGA